GATAGCACATATAAGAAGACAGTGATGATCACAATGGTAAAGATGTTCGGATTGGGTACATAAAGATTGGGAGATTGGGTAACACTAGATACAGAGCAAATTTAAAGCTCAGTGTAGGAAACTAAGAAGATGAAATTAGGTACTTTTGGTTTTGCTTTTAAATAAGGCAAAAGTTTGACAGCTTTTCAATTCACTAGGGAGTGAGTTCCATAGACTAGGTCCCTTAATTTGCATAGAGTGTTTACACAGATTAAGTTTGACCCTGGGGATATCAAAGATATATTTATTTCTGGTGTGGTGATAATGGGTCCTATTACATCTGTCCAGGGAGAGTTTCAGAGCATGGTTTGCATTTAAGAACAGGGCTTTGTAAATGTAGTTGACGCAAGAGAATGTGTGGAGGGAGTTAATATTTAGCAAGTTTAGGGATTTAAACAAGGGAGCTGAGTGTTGTCTGAAAGCAGAGTTAGTTATTATTCTGATAGCAGATTTTTGCTGGGTGATGATGGGCTTAAGGTGGTTTGCAGTGGTAGACCCCCATGCACAGATACCATAATTAAGATAGGGGTAGATTAGTGCATAATATAGTGAGAGGAGAGCAGAGTTAGGAACATAATATCTTATTTTAGAGAATATACCAACTGTCTTAGAGACTTTCTTAGTTATGTGTTGAATGTGGGTGCTGAAGTTGAGTCTCTTGTCTAGGAATAGGCCAAGAAACTTGCCATCATTTTTATTACAGATGTTAATGTTGTCTATCTGTAGCTGAATTGCATTTGATGATTTGCTTCCAAATAAGATGTAGTAAGTCTTTTCTATGTTTAATGTTAGTTTGTTAGTTGACATCCATAAGTGGACTTTTTTTAATTCATTATTCACAACATTATTTAGTGTAAGTGGGTTGGGGTCTGAATAGATAAGGGTAGTATCGTCAGCAAACAAGATAGGTTTGAGAATATTAGAGACATTAGGCAGATTACTGATATATATAAGAAATAGAAGAGGGCCTAAGATGCTGCCCTGTGGCACTCCAATGGTAATTGGTAGAGTGGAAGAAGTTGTATCATTGATGATTACACATTGGTGTCTGTCACTAAGATAGGATCGGATGTAGTCATGGGCAAGGCCTCGGATTCCATAATGCTGGAGTTTAAGTAAGAGGTAGTTGTGATTAACAGTATCAAAGGCTTTTCTTAGGTCAATGAAGAGTCCAATCGGAAACTCATTTTTGTCAAGGGCTGAGTAGATTACGTCAATGAGACTAATGATTGCATCCCTGGTGCTCTTTTGGGACCGGAAGCCAAACTGGCAGGGGCTGAGTATTTCGAATTTTACGAGGTAGGAATAGAGCTGTTTGTAAATAATTTTTTCAAATATTTTTGATAGAATGGGTAGATTTGATATTGGTCTATAATTGTTTATGTCCGCCGGATTGCCTCCTTTATGGACTGGCGTTACTCTTGCTTTTTTTTTAGGATATCAGGGAAGGTGTGACACTATAGATTTGTTGAACAGTAGTTCTGTGGGTGGGGCAAGGGCATGGGAGGCGCTCTTGTACACAATGGACGGAATTTCACTGGTATTCGCTGCCTTGGTTTTTAGAGAGTGTATGATGGACACAACATCTGCCGGGCCGACTGGTGAAAGGAGAAGAGAGTTTGGATAGCTGCCTGAGAGATATGTGTTAATATGTGTCTGAGTCTGTGGGATTTTACTGGCAAGATTAGCACCAACCGATGAAAAGAAGCTATTAAATTCATTTGCCATTTCTAAATCAGTTGACGGTATATCCCCATCCTTGTAGAGTTTTATTTGGTTATGTGAGTGTTGTTTAGTTCCTAGGATACTAGAGATGGTTTTCCATGTGCTTTTCATGTTGTCTTTTGCTTCATTGAATCTATTCACATAATATGCAAGTTTTGCCTTTCTTATGATACTGGTAAGCATTGATGAGTACCTTTTAGCTACTTCCTTTGAAACTAGGCCAATCCTAACTTTCTTTTCATATTCATGTTTCTTGTTGATTGAGTTGAGAATGCCACTTGTAAGCCATGGATTGTTTAATCTTTTGTCAGTTACTTGCTTGGTAAGAAGGGGACAATGAAGGTTGTAGGGGCTTAGAGTTTTGGAGAGGAACATGTTAGCTAATGAATTTATATCCTGGGTATTATTGAATTCAGAATCCCAGTTAATATTGTGAAGTGCATTTGTAAGATTGCCTAAAGCTGATTCACTGTGTAACCTAAATGAAAGTTTCTTGCTTTTTGGTGGTGTTATGTCCATGTTCGCTATGAGAAAGGTAGGATAGTAGTCAGTTGTTCTGTCGTAGATTATACCAGATACAAGGGGAGCTGTTATGTTTGTCCATATGTGGTCCAAGGTAGTGGCTGATGTTTGAGTGACTCGGGTAGGTTTGGTGATAGTGGGGATTAGCATACAGGAGTTCATGCTGTTAAGGAAATAGTCAACTTGAGAGCAATTTTGTTGACCCAGGTCAATATTAAAGTCTCCTCTCAGAATGATGTGGTTTTTGTTGAGATTGTTGTTTATAATAAGATTCCTTAGGTTGTCTGAGAAAGAAGCTATGTTAGTATTGGGAAATCTATAGATGGCTCCAATAGTCAAGGAGGATTTAAGGGATTTTACTTATAAATATACTTATATACTTATAAAAAATAAATACTTATAAATAATCCTCAAATTATGCTACAATGTACTTGTTGATAATCCTCAAATTTTACTGTAATGTACCAACTAATCTTCGTTAAGTTTTCTTACAATGTACCTGCTAACATTTCTCAACTTTGCTAGAAACTACCTACTTAAAATTATCTGTTATATTAAGAACCTCCTCGAAACGCTATGCGTGTTTGTGGCTTTACAAGAATGTAAAAACGTCAATGCAATGTACTCTCATAAACCCAATGTACCTTTTTGTGTATATGTATATATATATATATATATATATATATATATATATATATATATATATATATATATATATATATATATATATATATATATATATATATATATATATATATATATATATATATATATATATATATATATATATATATATATATGTCGTACCTAGTAGCCAGAACGCACTTCTCGGCCTACTATGCAAGGCCCAATTTGCCTAATAAGCCAAGTTTTCCTGAATTAATATATTTTCTCTAATTTTTTTCTTATGAAATAATAAAGCTACCCATTTCATTATGTATGAGGTCAATTTTTTTTTTGGAGTTAAAATTAACGCAGATATATGACCAAACGTAACCAACCCTACCTAACCTAACCTAACCTATCTTTAAAGGTTAGGTTCGGTTAGGTAGCCGAAAAAGGTAGGTTAGGTTAGGTTAGGTAGGTTAGGTAGACGAAAAACAATTAATTCATGAAAACTTGGCTTATTAGGCAAATTCGGCCTTGCATAGTAGGCTGAGAAGTGCGTTCTGGCTACTAGGTACGACATATATATATATATATATATATATATTAGTAATATTAGTAGTACCTAGTAGCCAGAATGCACTTCTCGGCCTACTATGCAAGGCCCGATTTGCCTAATAAGCCAAGTTTTCATGAATTAATTGTTTTTCGACTACCTAACCTACCTAACCTAACCTAACCTAACTTTTTCTGCTACCTAACCTAACCTAACCTATAAAGATAGGTTAGGTTAGGGGTTAGGTAGGGTTGGTTAGGTTTGGTCATATATCTACGTTAATTTTTACTCCAATAAAAAAATAGAACTCATATGTAATGAAATGGGTAGCTTTATCATTTCATAAGAAAAAAATTAGAGAAAATATATTAATTCAGGAAAACTTGGCTTATTAGGCAAATCGGGCCTTGCATAGTAGGCTGAGAAGTGCATTCTGGCTACTAGGTACGACATATATATATATATATATATATATATATATATATATATATATATATATATATATATAAGCCAAGTTTTCCTGATATATATATATGATATAAAGCTACCCATTTCATTATGTATGAGGTCAAATAAAATAAATGTATCTTTTTGTAAATAAAATATAAATAAAATAAATAAATGTAACTTCTTGTAAATAAATAAATAAATAAATAAATAAATAAATAAATAAATAAATAAATAAATAAACATAACAACAATAGAAAAGAAGAGAGAGAGAGGGACATAGTAGAGACATATAAAATACTTATGGGATTGACATGCCGAGTGGAAAAAGAGGAAATGTTCACAATGAACACCAGCAGTACAAGGGGACATTGATGGAATCTTGAGCCTCAGATGAGCCATAGAGATGTTAGAAGGTTTCATTTTAGGGTAAGAAAAATCCACTCATAATTTTAAAAGTATCGATATGACAGGGACATGTCAGGAGTTATTGCATTCGACAACCATCTGATGGAAAAGCGAGGTAAAGGAGCTGATGCTCGATCCTGCAAGCACAAATAGGTGAGCACATACATACACACACACACACATACATACATACATACATACATACATACATACATACATACATACATACATACATACATACATACATACATACATACATACATACATACATATATGTGCCGCCTCAGTAATATAGTGCCTTGTTTACTTCTCAAGATAACACGTGACACTAATTTGTACCCAGGTATACTGAGTACATCTGCTTTTGTTAATCAATATCACTAAATATAATCAATAAAAGGTTAATGCCCTGGCCTGCGTAGTTTATCCATATCACAATATTCGGCTTACAAACTGCGTTTAACTACAGCCATCACTCGCTGATATATAAATGAATGATGTATGTAAAATAAGGGTAATGAATGTATAGATAAATGCATATGAGATAATGATATAGAAAATTATTAGGCTTGGCAGCAGCGCCCGGGCGGGTTGGTAAAGTGATCCATAGATGGCGGGAGCTGCGCCTATGTCGACTGCAAGCTGTCATCTTGCTCTGCTTTTCACATTTCCACACCAAGGCGTATCATTATATGGATGAGGCATGCGCTGAGGTTCGCACTCTGCCTGGACCGCACACACACCTTCTTGCCAAACCTGTAAGAGAAACCCGTGGGGATATTACAGCGTGACGGTAGTTGTGTATTTTGAACTTGGCGGGTGAGGCGGTGTGGGAAACATTCAACAACCGCTGGCAGCTCCAAGCTCTGCCGCTCAAGGTAGCCATTGTCGAGAATTTGCTATAATATCGCAGGCCATCGGCCGCAGGACCAGCTCGTAGTGCCACGGGATATACTTAGTGCAGTGACTAGTGCGTCAACGGGTGCTTATGTGGTCTCTGGTGGAATTACACGGAGATAATTGTAAAAAATCTCCCTAATCGTAGGGTCATCTCTATGGGGACTCTAGTCCTCCTCTGAAATTGAGATGCAGAGTCACAACCAGAAGAAACAGCAGTACGTGACGCCGCCCAGTCGGTATCATCCTGGTAAACCATTTTCTGCATTTTTTCACCAGCCGCCAGGTAGGTGTCTTGAGAAGTGGTAGTTAATGGTGTGGAGGTGAAGTGAGAGATGAGGGGGGGGGGGGAGGGACGCCGGCTGACATTAGTGGTGGGAGGGCCGCCGCTCAGCTGACACTCACTGGCACTCCTCCTCCCTCACCACCTCACTCCTCCCTCACGCCTACACTCATATAATCCTACAATTCTATTACTTTCTATTCTCATATCCTAATTCTGTCATTAAAGCAGCAGTATGTTAACTACACCTGTATTTTTTTTTATAGTATACGTGCTCTTGTGTATATACAATAATTTTTTTTTTAATAGCATGAATGATGTAGCAGAAATGAATACTGTATTAAATAATTAGCAAAAAGTACATAATGTACCATGAGAGTTGGTTTTGTTTCCTGCGTCAGGTTGACAGCCATTTTTGTTGCCTGAACATTATTCTGGCGAGGTTGTCACCCAAGGGCGTGTGGCACCATGCTTCTGGCCACATGGGAAGCTTGTGGCGCTGTATTGTCTTGCTGTATGTTGTATTGAGCTGTAGTTGTCACTCACCTGGGCAATGTTTAGTTTCAACAGTTATTTTATTATAATTGAAATTTGTGCACAAAAATTAGTGTGGTAGTGTTTTATTCTATATAGGAATTATAATTTTTATGATCACTTAAAGAGAAGGGACCTCGCCTCCTTCCATATGAATATAGGTCATGTACACAAGTCTTCTCTTAACAGATTTTTAAAACAAACCTAACCTAGCCCAGCTTATTAATAATATACAGATTTTAAAATTGGAAAATATGCCATGTTCAAAAAGCCTTTACCTTGCGTAGCTTCCGGGGATCGATGGCCCTGCGGCTCGGTCTCCGGCCAGGTCTTTTGGTTGATCGTCTAGTAAACCAGGCTGTTGGACGCGACTGCTAGCATCCTGGCGTACGAATCACAGCCTGATTGATCAGGTAGTCTTTGGAGGAGTTTGTCGAATTCTCTTGAACACTGCGAGAGGCCAGCCAATTATGTTCCTTACGTGTAGCGGGAGTTGAAAAGTCTCGGGCCCTTGATGTTGATAGTTCTCCCTCAGCGTACCTATTGCACCTCTGCATTTCAACAGGTGTATTTTGCACATCCTGCCATGCCTATTGGTCTCATGTGATGCCGTTTGTGTTCAGATTTGGAACCATGTATACCATGTCATTATACCCCTTCCATATTTAGCTTTACAGCTAAATAATAACTTTGCTAAAGTGACTTAAAACCATGCCCTGCCAACTTGCAAGCATTGCATTGGGAGATTAATAATTGCCATGCATGTGGGTATTGTGAAGGTGGTCGCCACGTGGTATGACAATGGGGTGATATAATACTAACTATAATAGTTCACCTTGAGCTGTAGTCGTCGGGGAAGGCAGGTGAAGCAAGTCTAGGCTTCTTAGGAAAGGTAGGGTAGAGGATGGCAAGGCCTCGTCAATAGGCCTTGTAGTACATATCCTAAGTACAAGTGGTGCCGGGTGAGCTTCCTCTGCGCTGGGCCATGTGCAGTTCATCTCTGTGGCCCTTTTGACCCTCTCCAGACCTGCACAGGAAGGCTGTGAGCGGCCGCCGTCTGCCAATCAGGGCACAGTCCTGCCTACACTATGAAATGTCTCCCTTGGCGGGCACATTAAATGTGGTTTCCTCCATAGTATGGACAAACTGTGAGAGACAGTTTGACAAGGCTCTTTTTCAGTGTCCAAGATGTATACTGTATCATTAGGTTGAATTTGACTGTGCTAGACTCGATTGCATTTGGTTAGTCTCCTTGGGTTACGTAGGTTTTTTTAAATCCATTTTAAAATTAAAATGCGAGTCAAAGTGTACACATTACTTTTAACAAAGCTCATTTCCTAATTGTCAAAACCATTTATTTATTTACTTATAAGAAGGTACAGTACAAGGGTTTGAGAGATTACAGTACATAATATTGGTATTTTTACATTCTTGTGAGGCCACTAACACTCGTAGCATTTCGGGCAGGTCCTTAATCTAAACATACCAGGTAAGATGAAAAGGTACATTGTAGCAAAATTGTATATCAACATAAAACTATAAATTGACAGGGGTGATTACACTGTACTGCATATCATTAGGTTAGGTTGAGTTGAGTAAGATTAGGTAGGTTTTTAAAATTTAAAGTATGGCTGAAGACATCAATACTTTGAGACAAATAATGTTTTCGGTATTGGTTGAAAGACCCTTTGTGAAAGTTGGGTCTAAGATTTGAGAAGTTTGGCTTGTCATCACTATTCCTCTACAAAAAAAAACTTGCCTATCCTATTTCAGTTTAAACTAACACAACCCAATGCACCCTTTTCTAATCTAACTGAACCAAACATCATGAAAATAAGAGATAAAATGTGTTTTATACATGGTGTGCATGAATTTCAATTTTTCATTATTATGCACCCCATACCCATCCCATGGGTGGTGGTGGAAAGGGTTAGAGGCACCATAATCGGTTCAGGAACTGAACCCCCCCCCCCCCCCCTAGATCCTCTAGCTAAGCAAATAACAATCTTTTGATGCTGGTTACACAATTATTAATGTTATATATACAAGTACATATATTTATATATACATGTACATATATAGTATACATATATATACAATCATTTACACAAATATATATACACATTGATAATCTTTTATATCACCAGTGATTCAACAAGAGGCTCACAAGTCACTATACAAGGCAAGGGCATGTTTTCAGAATTTTAATACAGTACCAGCACAGGTTTGGGCTCTTAATGCTTTATGAACACGAGTCTCACCCTTCTGTTATTAAGTAAGGGGGCCGGGAGTTCAAACATATTCCAATTTACTGAAAATTACTTGAAAATGTTATACAGTACCTGTACAAATCTCCAATTATTTGGCAACAGCGTCGTGAAAATTTCATCCCAATGTGTTAAGAAATGGATTGTATATGAATATTAAAAAGAAAAATTCCGATTATGAGGACAGCTATTAACTGGAATTGAGGGATAATGCAGTGATAGAGATGCAAGCATCTGTCAGACACACAGTAGTAAGTAGGGTTCACAAAGTGGATATGCAGCTGGTGCCTTTCTAACATTACTGAGTTATACATAATACTGTAACACAAATAATGAGTATGTATGTTATGCTTTATTTTGTTATATACCACATAAATACATTGCCCAATGCCAAAAATATGTAAGTTTCACCAATGTCCAACAATTTATTTTTTTTTTGGGGGGGAAGCTATTTTGTTGTAGCTTCTACATCTTGGGGAATGCATACCCATCACTGTATGTGAAAGGTGAACAAAATTGGTAAAGTTAATCAGTTACAGGTGGCAGAAACTGACTTTTTTTTGGTTTTGTTTTTTGTTCTACAAAATATTTACAGATTTCAAGCTATTCTTTGTCTCTTTAGGTTATATTGAAGAATGGGGACCAGATGTGGGCCTTATCACTTTAAAGTATACGTATTAACCCATTATCCTTATCCCTATACAGTACTGTATTTTTCTTTTTGAGGATTATTTTTCTTTACTTTATTTCAACACATATTGACAACTTTCACATATTCGAGTACGGATGCCAAGCAGTATTTATTAAAACTTACAAGATGACATAAATTCGAACAACTATATTTATTGTCGAAGTTTACCTTCATTTTTCTCCATGAACCGGATTTTCAACTATGAGACAAGCTGTTAAATACAGTTTCTGAGCAAGTCTCATCATATTTACATATGTGCAAAGTTCTTGGTTCCGAGGTTTTTTCAATTGCGTTTATTCATAAACCTATGACTTTGGACGTTACAAATTTTTGCATCTAAATTTTGAACACTTTTTTGAAGACCAGTGACTTTTTTTTTTTTTTTTTTTTTTTTTTTACAGTAACTATACTCTCAAACTATTTTAAATTGAGGAAAATGAACATTTCGTGCCATTCTAAGACCATAATTAAAATAAAAATTGGTGAAATATTAATTAAATTTGTCAGCTTAATTTGAAATTGTGAAATTTTTAAAATATATATTTTTTCCTGTTCATATTATGATATTGAACCATTATTAAAACTGGAGCATTTACATGTAGAGTTTGAGTGTGTTTGAGGAAGGTTGAGAAATCAGTCTCTTTGCTTGATGAACTCTGGGAGTTCTACTCCCCTTCTACTCTACAATTGTATAAACATCAGAGGTCCACGGTTGCTCAGCCTATACTTGCTGGTAGGATGAGCAACCGCGGACCTCTGATGTTTATACAGTGTTCTCTGATTGTGCCTATAGCACCCCTGCTTATAACTTGTACTATTCTGCATTTTCTCCCATGTCGTTCACTCCAGTATGTTGTTATTGTACTGTGCAGATTTGGTACCTGGCCCTCCAGTATTTTCCACGTGTATATTATTTGATATCTTTCTTGTCTCCTTTCTAATGAGTACATTTGGAGAGCTTTGAGACAATCCCAATAATTTAGGTGCTTTATCACTTCTATGTAGGCCATATACTGTCTCCACTCGATCATCCGGACTATATGGGAAGGACCCCCAGCCGGATTATCACATTTTTCGGATAATGGTACTTTTTCACCTACGAGTCCAAAAGTGACCATTTCCAATTATTTTTATACTACAAACGACATAATTTGAATTGCCTTGCCACATACAATTATTAAATATTCAACTAGAAACCTCAACTTACCTTGTTGGTGTTCGTCTTCTTGATTGATGCCACACATCTTGAAGTTAAAAATTCTTAACAATTTACGTAACCTATACTAACACAACACTAAAATTAACACTTAAAATTACTGTACAGTTCATTAAGCAAAGTTAGTTTTGACTGCCAGCTGCTGAAGCCTCACTGGTTGAGGGCATTTGGGTTGCCTGTGAGGCCTCGCTTGTTGAAGGTGCTTGCTTGCACCTCACTTGTTGAAGCGCTTGCATGCCCTCACTTGTTGAAGGCGCATGGCTTGCCTGTGACGCCTCACTTGTTAAAGGCGCTT